GGAGGGAGGGAGGGAGGGAGGGGAGCATTGACTCGTCGCGCTCTCGATTCTTCATGGTGTTGCCTCGCACTTGCTTTTTGCCAATCCAACCACTGAACCCTCCTGACTCGTGTTATTGTTTGCTGCAGGCTTGCATGCAACCTGCTGCATCGTTTGGCAGCGCTTCTTGACAAAGCTCGGCTGAAGAGGCACTCGAGTTCAAACTTCTCATTTGCATGCTGATGACTAGCCCAAAGCTCCGGGGACGAAGTCAACACATGATTCCTCTGGAAAGGCCGGTAAACTCAGACCACAAGCAGCATAACCACCTGTGAAAATCTCAACAAGGGGCAGAAAGAAACCGATTCCCTTAGCATTATGATTACCATAAAGGAGACGCTGCGATAATCACGAGTCATGCCAATATCGCCACTTTCTCTTTTCATGGTACCTCTCAGTACTGTAGCAGAACCTGTGTTGTGGGTACGGTTACTGCTGCGTGAACTGTCTCTCACACGCTTTAACATGATGTGAACTGCCGGTGATGGCCCATTACAATTGGTAGCTTTGGCGAAGCCTTGTCCAGAATCACAGCCTGGTGCCGTCCGACTAAAACCGTCTTGAATAGGATGCAACTTGAATGGACAGAGCACATTGCCACACTTATTCTGACAGGCGAGATGCGCAACCACACCGGCGGCAGGAGCCGCATACGAGGCAACCTTCCGGCGAAGCAACCGGCATTCTTGACAGGCCATGCAAATGCAAGCCAGATGTCTGAGAGCGACTCTCCTAATGCCTTTATCCGAGCTGGCAGAAAGAAAGCAATCATGCGCAAAGGCCTAAGAAGCAACCATCGTCTGCAAAAATGAACAAATCAACGGATTGCAATTGCCCGGCCTCGACTTCACCAACAGCCCTCACCCGTGACTGTGCACCTCTTTCGAGCGCACCTGCCCTGGACAAAACAGGCAAACGTGACCTGAGGCAAACATGCGACAGATGGCGTGGCAAAGCCCAAACCGAACATGCACGAATCACGCTTACAAAATGATTCATGACTGAGCACATACAAGTAACTGCGTTTCGACTCGCACTCTCGCGCAAGGCAGGCAAGGCGCGTTTAGGTTCTTGCAGCTGGCGAATGCCAGGCAAGGCATGCAAGGCTTGTTGGCTTCTTCTTCGACAGTGCTGTCACTGCAGAAGCAACCGACGAATGAACCACAAATCTGAGTGCACTCCGGGATGTGTGCCAGGAGTTCAGCTACGGCTCTTGCGGTAACCGGCTTAGCTTCAATGCAAGCAGCTGAGGGCCAGGATTCGCAAACGAGAGCGAGACTCCACAGTTCGCAGCACCTGTCAATGCTCAACCCCGGTAGTGAAAACGCAGAGAAAGACTCGAGACGTTAGAAAGCGCAGGTCAATCGCCGCCTGCCAAGGCAGCAGCAGCTACCACCCGGCGGCCCTTTCGTTGCCGCTGTCGACCGTCCATGGGCTCAGCGGAACCGAAATGGCCGATTGTGCTGAGAGCCGCAAGGCTATGCGCCAGCAGTGGAGATGCATGCAACCGTGCGGGACCGAAGCTCTTCGCTGAACTAACGGTGGCATGTCGCCATTTGGCTTACAATCGTTGCTGCTGAGCCTCGGGGTTTTGCGTGGCTCCACCTCGGCTGGGGACTGTCCAGCTCAGAACTTCGGCTTCACTCTGCACATCTGGGGCAGTCAGTTGCACACAAAGCCATCTAGTCGGACATCCTCGTGAGCAGCAGGTTACAAGCAACTCCACGAAGCAAGAGCGCGAAGATTGAGAAACAGAGGGCGTAACTACAGCTCTAGCCACTCTCGCCAAGGATCACTGGAGACGTACCCGAGCAGTTCATAAGCGCTTCGCTTTGGCACCCTGAACGCGAAACGCAGGCTGGCACATAAAGACAGGGGTCCTTCAGCGAAAACTTGCTGACTGCTCGCCAAGGATGAAAGCATATTGACGACTTGGGCTTTGGCACAGAAGCGGCTGGCTGTACCACGGGCATTGGTGGCGGGGTCGGTACACTCTGGCTCGCCTGCATCATCCTGCCGGATTTGATGCGCTCCGCTCAAGCATGCTCAAGCATTACAAAACATCAGGGCAGATCTGCCTGAATCTAAGTGGCTGTGCGGTGAATTTCTGAGTAAACTGGCCGGACGATGCTAGAGGTGAGGCCGTCGTTTCACGAAGCAGCATTCAAACGGGGGTGGGCAACAGATGAACTCTTCGACCTGGTTGTGGCTATTCGGCTTCTACCGTAATTCACACACCCACACAGACATCTCAACAAAATCCTATCCACTTATTGAGCTCTGCAACCTTCCAGCCCACCTTGGCCTGTTCGGTGCATTTGCAGGCAGTGGTGGGGAGTTCAGCCCCTGCAGGCATGGACCAACGATTAAAGAGCTGTCGAGGCGCTGTCCAGAAGGACTCTCGCGGGCAGGTGTGCAATTCAACTGACGGGCTGGCCTTGTGCCGCTTGGGAGGTTCACCGGCAGGCTCCGCAGGACGTTGCGTCTGGAGTGCAAGCTTTCGACCTGGCGGAGAGTAAAGGAGAACACGAGCTTCACTTTGACGCTGTGACCGCTCTGTGACTGCTCGTGCTGCGCAGCTCACTTTTCCTCAACATGTTTGGCATCTGCGACGCTGCGAGCCTTCCGGTCCTGCTTTCATCTGCAAGGACCGCTCCGGCAAAGGATCCGGTCGCGGTGTCTGCGGCACAAGACCTGTCTGCTGCGGCTGCGGCGTCTGCGGCACGGTACCCACCCGGGGTGTCTCCTGAAACGGATGCGTAAGACTCAAGATGCCCCGCTGCCTTGCCATGCTACCAGCATCCCAAACGAAAGCACTGGTGCCAGATACAAGCAAGTCGCAGGCACTCGAAGGAGGTTGGGCCTCGGCGCTAAAAGTCACCGAGTGTTCCCCTTCGGATGCACGAGCCGGCGATACATCAAGCAACGGTTCAGCTTTCTCATCGCAATTCCTCTTACATCCCCGGCCCAGAAATGACTGTGTGGTGCCTTTTGGGCGGCTCCATGAGCATAGCGGCGGGGATGGGCTTGCTGGAAACAGACCTGATCTGCTAACCCTATGGATCACAAAGCAGACAGCAATGGCACAGCTGATGTCTTCGCAGATCCCGGATTCCATCAACTCCGCTTAAGCCTGCCGGCCTTGGCAGAAACCCCTGCACAGCCCAAGCCTTGAATAACCTGGCACATCCTGGCACACATGAAGCGCGCGTGAGCGAAAAGCTTCCAAATGCAGCTTGGTTAAGAACCCATTCTGAATTCCTCGCTTGTCAAACTGTTGTTCTGTTGCTTCCATGTCTCACCGTTGCTTTGCAACAGTTCTCTAGCTTCAGGCTCTGCACACACACCATCTCATACATGATACGAAGGCGTTGGAAGACAAACCTTGGAGAAGACCAGTGACACAAAGACACGTCAAAATAAAATGACTGCACAAGCAGCTCACAGTTCCCCAAACCAATCTCAGCACACCTCGAATACATCAGGAGCAAGCTAAGATCGTCCTCAAATACCCATAAGCACAATAACTCTTCCTGCCAGGTGATCGAGGTAAACAGAAGCAGTCAGGGCAGCAAGACAAGCAAGAAGCCAGCAAGCCGAAGACGACAGTGCCCCATCAATTCCTGAAGCCACCGGGCTTCGCCGGGGCTGGCGGCGAAGGCGACTCCTTCGCACCAGCCAGCAGTCGCCTCTCCTGGAACGCAGATAGTTTTCACGAGTTTCTTTCAGAGGACCTTTTAAAGCTGCAGGACGGCACAGCATCGAGAAGCGTAGGCTGGCGACACTTTAGAATTCGCTGGTCCAACTATGATGTACGAACTGCCCACTGTGCCGTCAGAAAAGCAAGCCTTGAAGCACCCTGTCAAACTGCAGACAAGCTTCGCTGCTGCTCGGGGTTGTTGGCACGTGCTGTGGTGGGGTCATGAATCCAACCTCCTGGCTTCCGTCGTTTTGCTCCTGGGCTCCAAACGCTTGCATGGGCTGTAGACTGACAATGACTGACATGCTTCGAGATCTTGGTGATGATCTTGTTGTCCAGTTTCGATGGAACTGGCTGGAGGAGGGCTAGTAAACTTCGTGCGATGGCCTCTAACCGATCTGGCCTCTCCAGGCTTTGGCCTGCGGCACTATGTGCACGGAGCACGCTGTAGTAGGCCGAGCTGAGACTTTCCGCAACCAGCCGATGATGTCTCACGCTTGCATGAGCTACGAGCGAGAGCCGACGTATGTCGACATCACGACAAATGCACGGCCATTTTACATCAGCTCCGTTCCTATCCGGCGGCCTATTGAGTTTTTGCTCTGTCCTTCTGAAGGGTCCAAATGATTTAACCTAATCTTGATCTAAAATGCCAAGGCACCCCGGGGTCGGGCTTGGCATTGGGCGGCGTCGTTGGCGCCGCCGGGGCGCTCCAGTGGGCGTTCTCGTGCAGCCCTAAGGGCCAGGCCCAGTTCGTCTGGATGTCGCGTCCCTGTGGCACGGTATGCACAGATGAAGCCTGAAGTTCGGGGCTGTCTCTGTTTCAGACCAGGTGTGACGGAGTCTTGACTTTTCAACATCGACCAGCCACGTTGCACAAACGAGTCTGGATCTGTGTACTCTGAAACCAGCCCTTGATTCGTTGCTTCCACCCTTCCTTCTCAGTTAGCTTGGTGGGTCAGAGCTGGACAACTTGCAGCATTCAGTGCGGCCCGGAACATGCGAGGACTCTTAGCGAGGACTCTTCCCAAACCACAGGCATTGCCGAAGACACTCTTCAACGAGTCACCTTCTATCTCCTTGTGATAAGATGCACTAGACAGTTGGCGCACACGAATGAATACTCGGGGCAAGTTGATGCTGGAGGCTAGAAGATGCCAAAAGCAATACCATGCGATCCGGCAAACGCTCGAAACTGACATCGCCCGCATCGAAGAACAGCTCTGTGCTGTAACGAGCTGAACAGTTTCGTATCGTTCAAGCCTTTGCATACATCGTCTGGCGCGGAAAGTGAGAAGGTGGAATCGAAGCCTTAAGCACAATCCCATCACAACCAGAACTCGCCAAACCTCTTCTGTTCGACTCTTAGCCCAGGCCTCTTTGAATTGAAAGAAGCGAAGTCCGGCTCGGGACCAGGATGGCGACCAGCCCGGCTGTAGCGGAATGTGCTCCTGGATTCCAGGCGGGTCGGCAGCTGCTCGGATTTACGTGGATTCATCGCATCATTGCGGATATGGACAGGTCAGACTTCACGGATCCTCACGGGATGCTGGCACGAGGCCGTGCTGCTGCATTCGAGAGCCTCCGGACCCCGAATGATGCAGCCATGTGGCAACCTGCACCTGGACATCTAAATCCATGGGTAGTCTCTGTACTGTAAAACCGAAGCGACTTGAGCCCCCCCAGCTCTTTTGAGAGTGAGGGGGATCAAGAAACGAACCATCTAAGCGATAGAAGCTGAACGGAAAAGGTGTAAGCTTTGACGAAGTTTTTCAGGAAGACGATGAGGAAAACTAGCCGCTCGTCTCGGGCAAACTTGTACCAATTGATTCGAACAGCGTGGGTTCATAGATAGCGTCAACGAACCGGCCCTCGTTGTCCGCCTGGCGGCTTGGGAGGAACTCATCCCTCAACTTTGCTGAACTGCCCTGCTGGTGGCTCGGCTTCCAACCTTTTGGCACCAGATAGCCATCAACCTGAAGCTCTTCTGCCAGGTTCCTAACGATGGGCATCACAAGTGGCGTCTTTCTCCAGACCTCCTGTATGAATGCCCGAGACTTGGGAATGGAATCCAGCAGACTCCTGGTAATGGGAGATTTGCCATCCCAAGTCGTGTCAAGCTCCTTCCTCAAGTTGCTGGCTGGCCCGGGACGCTCCTTTAATCATCGAAGCGTGCTGTGAATCGATGCCAGCGTCGTGCAATGGCCTGCAGAGGTCATGGAAACACAGAAGTCGTGAAGTTGATGGTCACTTTGGACCTGGTCCGAGCTCTCAACATGGCATCTAGCACGCACATCGGCTGCGGCGATGTTTTCGATGCCCTCCGGCACCTCTCACAACTTTTGGCACTCCTGCCCCAGCCGTCTTCGTGCGGACATGCAAGCGTGGAAGGGGAAGCCAGGGAGGTCCTCGGGCAGGATGCAACCAGTCCCCGCTATGGCTATGTCAAACAAATGCATGAAACGGTCCGGCTCTCTTCCGTGGTTTCGGACCCTAGGACGACGGACTGCCCACGTTCGAAAGCATATTTCTTAATTGAGAAATAACGGTCCTCTGGTGCTTCATCTTCGGCGGCCCACTGCTTCAAGTACTTGACACTTAATACTTTCAGGGTGGGCAAGTACAGTACAAGTCCAGCTGCTGATTCGTGAAGGCCCGCGTGGTCATGTTTCGGAGTCGCTTTTGCAAAGGGTCGTTGACCATCGGCACGGAGCTCTCACCGACGACTTTCTTGAAGTGAGCCGGCCAGCCCAGATCACGGCATTGCTCTCCGACACTGCAAGGAAAACCGTTGGAACGAAAAGTACGCTTGACTTGGAAGTGCCACCACACTTGAGAAGCCGTGCCTCTATGAACTCTTCCTGACCTGACACATATGCCAAAGTCTCGCCAAGAAGTGACCATCCCATGCTGCCTGGCGGAAGCTTCCGTAAGCGCCACCACCTCTGCAGAACTACATAGCCAGCAAGGACACATCAGGCCCTCTGGGCTTCCTCTCTGAGCGCAAGGCCTGAGCCAAATGGCAGCTTGAGCGGCGCGGGGTGTTGTTGAAGTGTCATCCGGGAAAACATGACCCACTTCAGGCACCAGGACTCCCAACAAAAGTCAAGCTCTTCGGTGCCCAGCCCTCCCCCTCGAAGGTTGCAAACAGCTTCCCTTGGAGGCTCTGTAATTCCGACCCGATGTCGACTGTTCACTCTAGTCGCGAGGACGCCAGAGTCGCGTGTCCTCGAAAGCGGCCACTGCAGAGTCGTAGACCTTGCTCCACTCCTCCAAGCAACGACGTGCAGACTTTCGTGCAGGGTGACTTTAAATATATTGCGGTATAATGCACGCATCTGCCTTGCTGTTGTGCTGTCTGACGAGCTACATTTCTGCACGGCGAGCCATAGCGAACCTGGTGATTGCGCGCGCGGCTGTGTGTTGCGACTTTTGCGACACGGGTCACGGTTGTGTGGGGTGTATTGCATCTCAGGCGGGCGCATGTCAACCAGCTTTCTGCTTCTTTTGAAAGCGAAATTCGCAACAACTGTCAACATCCAGCCAAGACAGCTGGTTAATTGGACGATTTTGAGCACATCACTGACAATACCTTGGCCCAATAGGTGGCAGACAGCTGGCTGGCATGTGAAAATGCCAGTATGCCCAAGATTTTTGTCGCTTGTACGCTCGAGTGATTTGCAGGCTGGTGCTAAATAGATTCGCTTGACGACCTTTTCCCTGCCCCGCTTCTATCTATCCATTACCTGTCTATCTAGCTGTTTGTCTGTCTATCATTATCTGCCAACCTACCTACCTAGCTACCTACCGATCGACCGACCTACCCACCCACCCACCGATCCACCTACCTAACCTACCTAACCATCTACCTACCTACCTACCTACCTACCTACCTACCTACCTACCTACCCCTACCTACCCACCCACCCACACTCTCACCTACCTACTTACCCACCCACCCACCCACCCACCCACCTACCTACCTACCTAACTACTTACCTACCTAGCTAGCTGGCACCTACTTATTTATCACAATATGTGTCGCAACATAGCAACGAATCCAATCAACTGCATGGTTAGATGAAGCGGCAGGGTTTGCAACACTCCGTTTCTGTCCCTGGCTCTTTCTCTTTGTGTTCCTGGAATTTCCGGGATTCGTTTAGGTACGCAGGCTCATGAATGTGCGTTATACAGCCATTCGAGGGCAGGGTGCCCGCGATCGTGTAGTCACATAGCCTAGACGATCTTAAGTGCACAGCATCCTCCATAGGTCAACGAACATACGTTCGTGCACATGTACGTGCACACTCAATGAAGCTGCCTGAAAACGTGCACACATGCACGCACGCACACACATGGGGAGAGGCGTGCATAGTGCATGCATGTGGAATACTTGCATCAATCCATTCTGCCAGCATGTGTAGTATTGTTACACCACCAAATCTTGGCTGACTTCTGAACACCTCCTAAAAGTTAAACTTTTAACCTTTTTAGTATAGTTCATATAGAAACCCAAAAAGTTAAAGTCCTAAGAGCCAACCAGAAGAACACCAAGAAATAAGCTCCGAAACAGGACTCAGGCCTGAGTTACTACTGCTTTGGTGACTTGGTAAACGACAACTCCCGCAAGCTCCACTCCCGTAATTCCACAGAGCTAGCTTCCGTAACGGACAAACCGACAGAGAGAAAGAGAGACAGATTGATAGCTGGACAGAGAGATTGAACTGATTGATAAATTGATAATGATACATAGATGGATGGATAGACAGATGGTTAGATACAGTAGGGATTTGTGAATGCAACATTTCGTGCCCGTTGTGGGGCTTGGGGTTGGGTGGAGCCTTGGAGTCACCGCAACCACTACGAATCTCATCCTTCCTTGCCCCTTGCCCACTGGGGTGTGCATTTTTTGGCTTCCGCATGGCAGTATCCGAAGACTCCGATTGGCAGGCGGTGCTTTGGCCACTAGAGACTGAAGAAACTCCAGAACGAACTTGCATCAGAAACATCAGAAAATGCATGGAATGCACTAGGTTCATCAGAAAATGTCTGGAACATGACATTGACGCCATGGCAGAGGGACTGGAGGCAGGCCCGGCGCACTGCTGCATTCGGAGAAAGACTGTGCAGGCAAGTTGCAGGAATTTTGGTCTTCTCCATGCCTCAGAACGGGCATTCCCACTGATTGGAAACTTGTTGTCAAGCATACTTTGCCAGCTGATCTCGTCCTACGAAAGCCGGAGCAATTCTCCCAGGTCCACCGTTTCGGTGCGGCAGCTAGCCCGAGCAATATCTGCAACAGCTGTACTCAACACGAGGACCAAGTGGCTCTTCTGCAAGTCCTGCCATGCCTGCTGTTGCAGCGAAACCGTCGCCGGCTGATCCAGAATTGCAACGAACATGCTGACCACTTCCCGGTTCCTGATTGCGAGGTGTGCACTGTCCACCCTCTATGCACAATTCCACACACGAGCTTGCCTGCCCTTCAATTATGAGTGATGGTTCGAGCTTACACTCAGACTTGAAGGTCAAGCTAGGAGGCTGCCTGCTGCTGGATCCCTTTCGGCATCGAGCCTTCCCTCGTTCAATCATCGTTTGTTGGCTCTCGACAGGAACCTGATACAAAGCCAAGGGGCTCCAGCACACCCCTGCCATTGTTGGCTAGCCTTAGCCCAAGCCAGAAGGACATGCATAAGCCGCTACATGGGCCCTTGATATAGCACTGATCTTTCAAGACGATATGCAAAAGTATGCATGGACCTCTCCCTGCAGGGATGAAGCTGCAAATTGTACTCTCTTTGCAGCCGGGCTGCGCGAGCTGCCTCGGCTGATTACCAAGGCAACCCTACCACTCCAATCCAAATTCGAAAACTGCTAACGGTACTCGCACTCGCCTTCAGATCCGAAGGCCAGATCAGACGTGGCACTTGAAAAGAAGCAATCTGGCACATCTTTCTTGGATCATGCTGTGCACCTGGGACAGAGAGAACAGCGAGTCTGAGCGCGCTGGCATCCTGGCTCGTCCCTCGCCCGCCCGGCTGGCGCCTGCTGGGCCTGCGCTTGCAACTCCTGGGCCTTAGACTCGACATCACATCGCAGAAACAGCTGGCCAGAAAACTCTCCCAACTTCTGCTGTCTACGCTTTCAACACCCTTCTCGCAAGCCCTGCCCAGAGCTGCGAACTCATGAACAATGAATGAACTCAAAAGCTTATCGGGAGTTTCGCTGTGATCCTGGATTCTTCCATGTCCCTGCCAATCCTACGTCCTTGCCTAGCGTGTCTCCCTGTCTTGTCTTAGCCTTGTCGTTAGTAGTTGATATCGGAGACTCGCCCAAAAGACAGCTCAGCAAGGCCCGCTCATGCCCGTAATGGACTTCCGGGTGGATTTGGCCCTCCAGATCCTATTCCTACCATACCGACCAATCGCTCTGCAGAATGAGACTTGCATCAGCCACGATTTAAGCGCGCTTCGGTTTCAACCATCTTTGCCGACTTTAACCCTCACTTCCAGCTCTGCTTCCACTCTTCTTCTGCAGGGCATAATGGGGCGGGGAATACGCCAGTCGGCTCTTGCTTGCTCGCCTGCTTGCTTGCCTGCTTGCTAGGGGTGTGGCCTACCTCCCAAGGTCCGCAGCGGTTTGTCCTCACGGCCCCTTTCGGGGTGGGAGATATGCACGTTCCCTCGAGTGTACCTTTGCAACCCCACCCCCGAAGAACACCCCTGCTAAACCAGAACCGTGGGGGACCAGCAGGTACAAAGGCTCTCTGTCTCCATCTCTCCCTGTCGCTCTGTGCATAACCCTGCTCGTTGTTGCTGCGCGTGCCTGCTGCTTTGGTTTGCCTGCGAACCTCCGTACAGTCTTTCAGTTCCCATGCCACTCGCACAAACAGTGGGGAAAAGGCTGTTGTCAGCGCATGCTGTACGAACTCTGCGCTATGCTCCAGCCCAGATGCTTCGATGGAGATGGTTTTGCTTTCACCCATGTAGCCCTGCAGCGGTCAGCAGCTTACCAGCACAGGTCTCGGGCAAGGTCTTCGGCTCCAAGTTTTCTACGTTCTTTGGGGTCGACGGAAGCAGTTCTTTTAGAAAGCAGCCACGCCTGCCCGGGCAGCACTTTGCTGCCGCAATGGCCCGCAAGGGTGAGATGCATCAGACCTTTCCTGGGCTTCAGGCATCGAACTTGGGACGTGGGTTTCGTGTTTGGGTGCCAACCATGGGCCCAAACCCTGAAGCCGCCCGCATTCCACCAGCAGCGTGCTCACACAACCGTAGCCAGGCTGGGGCTGCCAACACCGCTGAAGCCTGCACTGCCTGATGTCTCCCTTGCTACGTCTCCGCGCATGTTTCGGCAAGGCCTTCCACGCAGTAAGTCAGCTAAAAGGCTTCAAAGGCCTGCAACAAACCGTTGTCCCACTATCGCATGGTGTCAGCCTGGAGAATGCTGCATGACGCACATGCTTCATTGGCCGAAGTGTGCGGCCTTAGCTCTGCATTTCTTACTCAAACAGCATCTGCGTAAAGGGGAAACAACCAGTTTCCTGACTTTGGTGGGCACGCTCCCGCGGACGACACTTACTGTTCGTGCTGTCAGGGACAAGGCGGTTCCACGAAATTGATCGGAGTCTGTGACCCTTGCTGGGTGAATCTCAACGTCTTTCATCTCACCCAAAACCTCACTGAAAAGACTATGCACATTGGATTCACCCAGGGTCTTGTCAGAGCCATAGCCCCGCAGAAATACACGAGTTACAAGTTTTGCAGCTGTGTACTCGCGAAAGCGGCTCACCCACGAGGAGGATTGCATTATGCGCCCTTGGGAAGTATGCTCGGTCTTTCGTGAGGTACAAGTAACAGGTTGCTCAACTCTACTGGGCCTCTGCTTGGTTCTCCGTGCACGGGGCGAGCGAAGCCGAGCAAATTCATGGCATCGGTGAAATGCAAAAGAGGAGCGGCTTCTTTGAGGACCGATTACTACAACTCTCAAGCAGACGCTGGATGTGGCCCTCTAAAACCTGGACGTCGGAGGTTTGGACGAGTTAGGATTTGAACCTTGCAGCACTACCCCGAAGTTTCGTCAGCCCCTGTACAAGTCTTGTACAAACTGTTTGGAGCACGTGTCACAAGACCTCACGTCCACATTGCACGAATGCCAGCGCTCAGAGCGATCACAGCAGCAGCCGAGGCCAACCTGTTTGCAGGACATGCGAGCCATCCACCCATAGAACAGCCGCCCTGTTGAGATCCCGTGCCTGCAAGAATGAAGACTGAACGTCCCAGGTTCCGGCGTTTGTGGTCATGCGCGGACACAACAGTCGAAAATCCGCTCTACTTGCGGACGTCGGTAAGAAGAGAAAGCAAGAAAGGCTCGGAGAGCGAGAGAGAGAGAGCGAAACAAAGAGACGGGAGAGACGGAGACGCAGAGGAGAGACACGGAGATGCGGAGAGATGCAGAGACCGAGACCCACGGGGATCATCCGATTGTCGGGCTTGCACTTTTCAGGACAGTTATTCATGAGTGAATGTACAGCCACAGAGACAGGCCTTTTTACAATTGTTGGCAACGCCACTGGATGTCTGCATGTCTCCACTGGGCCGGGGGAGGACTTGCTAGAGGCGTAGGAGCGGGGACACAGTGGTACTTCTCGCGAGCAGCTGATGTGGCTTTCGTGCCGGATTCGCGGGGCCGGCTTCGGATCTGAGCAGTTTGGGCGACCAATGACTGGACAAAGCTCGACTTACAGCAACAAGTCTCTGCCGGGAAAGTAAGTTTTGAAGCCAAGGGCTTGGGGTGCATGGGTGCCTGGCCAAACATCCATTATTAAGCCTTTGCTGTCAGATTCAAACTCATTCCTCCAAACTACACTCAGTCATGCCGTGTCGTGTTGGACAGAAACTTCTGCGCAGATACCTCCAGCCCGCTTTGTTGTCCTCCTGCTCCGGAGCTTTCGCAAGCTCCTGATCGCCGCGGCGGATAAAGGTGAATGCCAAAACGAGGAACAAAAAACGAGCGCAGGATCTGCAAGCAGACACATGATTCCGGAAGACAGCTTCTACTGTAGGCCTCATGGCTCCAAGACAAAGGAGCTTTACCCCTGCATGTGCCTGCGCATGTGTTATGTGTATATAACTGTATGTATGTGTTTTTATGTACATACATAAATACATACATACATACCTACCCACCTACCTACCGACCTACCTACCTACATACATAATTACACAATTACATACAGATGTGTCGTCCCTAGGTCGGCTCTTCACGAAACCCCGGGCTTTGAAGCATCAGCATGACGGAGTTGGACAACCGCGGCCTTGTCCACTTTCTCTGTGTCTGCCAGGCCGGGGTGGTCGTCTGGCATTGCCAGGCCTCTGCTAGTAGAGCGGAGTTTAGGACTGCGTCCCCTTCTGCTCTCATCCTTCCAACAAAATGCTTCGGGGACTGGGACTGGGCCTGTGGACTAGCAGATGCACAATACTCAGCAGCATGATCTCCAGAATTCATAAACCCTGTAGCAAGATATAGCAAGGGAGACCATCAACGACTACAAAAACGAGCAACCCCCTTCAAAACAGGAAGCAGTTGGCGAACCCTGTCACTATCCTGCGAGATATGCGGTTCGTTGCCTTGCGCAGCCAAGCTGGCGAACGGGCAGCCGGCCGCTGCCGCGCGGGCCGCAGCCTCCGCTGCGAATCTGAAATCTCAGCTTCCAAAGTCAACGCCCGAAAGGCCTGAACCCAACGCGTTGCAGTCAAAAATCGACTGCTTAGGGCTTCCACGGGGGTGCCGGCAATAAGCTTTGCTGACTCACTGAACGGCCAAAAATACTTCACAGAGTTTGCAATCGAGGAGATTTACAGTCGCAAGGGCAGGGAGTTGTGAGCTGACAGACGCAAGCTTCAAAAGCCTTTCTTTCCAACAGGCTTTCTTTCCCAGACTGTCCATTCGCCTCAGCATGGCTGGCGGCAGGCGCAGATGCCGGTGGCGGGACAGGTTCCGCCTGCCCAGGGCATTCACTTGCTAAGATGCGACAAATCTTTCCGCGAAGCCATACGATGGCAGGACAAGAGCCACATCCCACATTCACAGCATCCCGCCTCAAAGCCTGCTAGCGAATCCAACTCCTGGCCGGAGCTGAAACATGACACAAGTATGCACAAGCTACAGCAAAAGGCGGATGTTGAAATCCGAAACGCTGGCTCGACGGTCCTGGAATATTCTTGTGTTGAGGAAGAAGGCATAGTTCGCCTCCTCGACCATTCCTCGGTCGCTTTGCAGGGCCCTCAAAGGTCACGATTCCAAAGACTCACGAAAACCTGGATGCAAACCCTTTCACTCCTAGGGCACTATGCTTGTAGACGCGCTTAAACACATAAGAGTCATGAAGAAGATGTTAATCAGCGGGAATTGCCGAACCGAGCTGCGGTCGGCAGTTGCGCTGTCCGCCTGTAGGTTGTCCATGCGGGCGCGATACATGTTCCTGATCCGACTGGTGCTTCAAAAGCAGACAGCAGCAGCTCCAAGCTGCTAACACAGCTTTCGAGTCGCCGAAAGTCTGAACCTATACAAGAGCACGGGACGACTCTTCTCGACCAGATTCTTGAAGTTCTTGAAGTCGGGGATCCGCCTGAAGATGTAGAATCGCACACCTCGAGTGCAACCGGCCAGAAACAAATCACACGAGCACGATTCAGAGCAAGCAACCGCCCAGCAAAGCTGACCCGGATAGGCGCTGTTTTCGCAGGCAAGCGCAACTAAGCAAGCTAGTATATGGTTGACGCCACCAGCTCTGACCTTGGCCCCTGCTGGCAGTGCCCCCACAAGTCGGCCCGTGCGTTGGTTCCGCCAAAGCCGAAGGACGACACCCCGATGTTCTGGCTGTTTTGGTCGGCATCGACGCACTCGCTCTCGTACAAGCACGGGAATCCGTTTGTGTCAAGATTTGGATTCAGGGAACGCAGATGGACGTTGGGTGCCGATGCAGACGTCATAAGCATGAGAACACACTTGGCCAAACCATTCAAGCCAGCAGCGGACTCAGCGTGGCCCACATTGCTTTTGGAGCTGGTCATCAGAAGAGGCTGTCGGCGGTCGTACATCACCCCTCGCAGGGCACCCACCTCGATTGGATCTCCGAGGGACGTGCCAGTTCCGTGGCATTCGGCCACTGCCACTTTGTCCGGGCTGACATTGGCCATGCGCAAGGAAGATCGTATGCAGCTCTGCTGAGAGGGTCCATGCGGTGCAGTCAAGCTGGCACTCCTCCCGTCTTGGTTTACGCTGCTTCCAGAGACGCTGGCCAAGTGCAGTTCCAAGTCCTCCCCGTCCTCCGGGTCGTCCCTGGCAAGAAACACGGAACAGCAACCCTCGCCACGACCGAAGCCCTGAGCGCTGCTGTCGAAGGTGAAGCAGCGTCCGTGAAGACTCAGGAAGCCCGCGGCACCGAGACCGACGAAGCCTTCGGGACCGAAGAGCACACGAACGCCAATCACTAGAGCACCGCTGGATTGCCTGCTTTGGGCATCCTGAAATACGGGTGCGAGCCGTAGTTGTGAATGGGCGTGCCCCAATGCCACCAATGACGAGGAGCAAGCAGTGTCAAACGAACAAGCGCCCCCCCGCAAGCCAAACAAGTGCGAGATCCGAGATGCAGTTGCTGCACTGAGCGTGCCATTCTGACGGCACTCATCCAAAGCTGGGCAATATGTTGCAGATTCATTCGCACAGTCACCTACATAAGTACTGATTCTGCTTCCCTTCAAAGACTCGCCGAGGCCAACATCCGCCAGTGCCTGGTAGCCAGTGCGCAAAACCAGGCGCTGCTCCGGAACCATGAGCTTCGCCTCCTTCTCGCGCAGGCCGTAGAATCCTTCAGGGAGATTTTTTCTTGATAAGTAAAAGTTTTCCCGTTATCAAGGCTTGGGCTTGCTCCCTGCTTGCTCGTCCCGTCCTGCGTCCAGATCCCAGAGCTCGGAGGCCTGGAGGAAGGCCGCGTGCTTGGTGCTGGTCTGGCCACGCGAGGCGGCGCCCTCGTCGGGTGCGTAGTAGACGGAGGGATCCCATCGGTCCGGCGAGACCTCCGTCTGTGCCTCGCCACCTGTCGCAATGAGGCTCCAGTAGCTTTCCTCGGCTTGCAGAGTCGGATGGGACGGGAACCCCAGGCCCAATGCTGGCAACTTCTTTGCGGGGCAAGAAACCGCTGCACCGCATCCGGCTGGAAGATTTGTAGCCAGGGACTGCACCTGAACCATTGGCCCCAACGGTGGAGGTGGCCCCGTAAACATGTACTCGTCGAAGTGCTCCATCCACGGCTGGAGTTGCACAGGGACTCCACCCAGCACTTCGCACGGACATGGGGCTAGCTGGCTGGCGCAATGCGCTCCGAATCAGGAATGACTCCGAGGTATGTTTTGATGCCTGGGTACCTCGCAAAACTGTCAGTACTTGTGGTAGTTGCACGAGCTACCCGCGATAACTCCTCGGTAGACTTTCTGAAACATCCTTCAGAGGCTCTATCATGCACACCAATGTAAAGTTGAGTCAGCAAGTTGGCGCGGGTATTTCCCATGTCACGCTGACGTCCCAGGAGAGAACTGGCGAGGGTGTTTTTTTGATCTACCCGAACTCTTGCAAGATTGGATCTGGGGCTGGAGATGGCTTGAGGCGCAATGTCTGCGTCACAGTTGTCGGATATTTGCTTTACCGTAGCTTGCCCCATACAACCGAAGGCCATCGAGAAAACGTTACTCTACGCTCTAGGAGGTGAGTGAGCCACAGCTGTCTCTAGGCAAGGTGATCTCTCTTCGAACTTTCACATGTCTCAACCTGAAGAATTGGACGTGTCAATATGCCGGGCCGGTAAGGGGAAGTTGAGGGGGCAGCAGCATGTGCATCTAAGTCACCCGAGTCATCGTCAGGAAGCTTCATGCCCCGTATCGCGGCCTCACACACAGACTCCTACAGACAATGCTTGAAAAACAATAGCTACGCGAGGCTCCTCGGCTGCTCCGGGAGCAGCAAGCTAGAAGTGAACTGTCTGCAAATAAGGTACCTTTTTGAGGACCTGGCCACCACTGAGGTCACCAAGGTACCTCGCAACACATTGACTGGCCAGCGTCGTGCATCTCATGCAAATTGCTCACTTGCCTGGTGTAGGCATGCGGGATCAGAAGCTCCGGCGACTCCTTCTGAACCTGCTTGATCCTGTTGACGTATTCTCCTGGAGATTGAATGGGTGAAGCTCTCATCCTAGGGAGCAGATGGAGCAGCCATCTACTCATTTATCTCTTCCATGCGAGACGGTGAAGTACAAGTATCCGCTGGGCCCAGCTGTCGGGTCGGCAAACGCTACTGAAAGGCTTCCAAGGGGCTTGTCGTCCTCGATGGCAGCGTCTCATTCTGCCAATTCCTCTGGAGCCGTTTAAGCAAATTTGGCACAAACTGTCATGGCCACAACCTTGCCCAGGCCAGAGCTACAATCCTCCCGTGTACATCATGGCAGCAACAAGGCGTGGTAACAGCATTCAACACAACAACTATCAAGAGGCAAGGCTCTCGCCAAGGAAGAATGCAGCATCCTGCTTGAGCGCTGCCGTCCTCTCCAACTCTTCCTCACGGCACATGGAGCCTACACCGCATCACGGCGTACCGACTGGTCCGGACTTCGATGGGGTCGAGGGCGCCGGGCCTATAGCCCAGAACTCCCCACACCAAGCCCTGCCTGAAGACATCGGGTACGAGATGTTCGGGTGCGACAACACCGTTGTGGTCTCACTCCGGGACTTGGTACGAGCACCCGCCGCGATCGAGGAGCGGCCACAGAAACACGAATTCCATCCGAATCTGACCCAGCTGGTAAAAACCAAGCGGCCGGGAAGTGGAGGCTCTCAATCAGAGGATGTTCAGCATTTGCCTCTTTTGGGTTTGAGACGATTGTTGGAACCGCAAATGTCTCAGGCCAGTGACTGAACTGCTGGCACACGACGCACGCTAGCAGGGTAAAAGACCTCAGCGCTGCCTCTAAAGCCTCCTCGAGCGCACCGTAGATGTGATAGAGGTTTACCACCTCAGGGCTCTGCTCAAGACGATCGCCGACACAGGCCGAGCATAATCCGAACATATTCGTCCGTTCGCACATACATCGGCAGGACACAAGTTTGAACCCAGTGGACCATTCCAGCACAAGAAACCGTGGAATGCCCAGAATCTTGAATTACGTGACCTGGCTAGGTAGCAGGGTATTTTCTACGACGTGTTCAAAGCATACTACAAAATTCCGCAGCAGGATCAGGAGCTTCGTTCTTAGCGGGAAAGGGGGCTTGCAATGAAGCTGCGATTGGGCCAAACGTCCTACAGCAGCGTGTTACAGCCGCTGATTGCCTATACTGATGGTACCGCCGTCTCAAATTTCGGCTGGGTCCGCGGCGAACTGGGCATAGATCCTTGGAGCGCGTTTGCTGGCTTTTTAATGTTTTGCAGAAACACTTCCTCGGCGAGGCCCGCAACCCACAATGTCGGAGTCGACAGCTGGGTCACACGAGGCAGGGTCCCTGTGTACACCGTTCTCAAAAACCTGCGTCTCCCCCAATGAATTCTTGCATCAAGGCACTGCCGCGACACCCTGCCCCGCACGAACTCCTGCGCCACATGCTGGCATGTAGATCCGGATCTGGTTTCCCGCGCCCCTGCTTTGCAGCTTCTGCAAGGGCCTTGACGAAGTGCACCGTCTCGGCGGCCTGGTGAGCCTCCTTGGTGCCTGGCCAACACAACGCCCCAGGAGAAGATTCGGAGTAAGAACAAAGCTGGAGATAGCTGGAGCATCATCAAACTCCAGTTTCCGCTTGTTTAATACGCGGGTTGTGTAAGACTGTAAGAGTCTGGTGCCACGAAGTCGTGGAAAAAAAGGGGAAGAACTCCCTGGGCAAGGCTAGAGGACTGCCGCCCAGCAACGAAGCACGGGCGACATGAAGGCACACTCATGGAAGCTCCACAATGTGACATGTGTCGGAAAGGAAACCCGTCCGCCTTCCTTCAGCTTGCAGGCCAATCCCTCATCTTGCACTTCGGCCAGTTGGGCCTGCACTCCAACGACGTTGTGGCACAGAGTTGTGGCACCCCCCGATAAGTCTTCGGACGGTCTTCACAGTGTCACTGCCTGTTCGTCACCGATCCAAAGCCCCCAGGAACGCCATTCCAACCTCTCGTGTCACGGACAAACAGGCACTACAGGGAAGAGGCTGCAATTCGAACAACGTCCTGACCTAACATTCATCGAAGCTGCTCCATGGCCAAGGGAGTGCCACTCGATGTGATGCAGTTCTTGAAGGGGCAGGCCTCCTGCCGAGGTCGCTTGGCACTTCGGGCAAGCTTCGACCCCTCCACAAAAGAAGTGGACACAGTGAGTGTGCAGTGGACCCACCGCTGGGCTAATTCCCACACCCGTCCCGGCTAGAGCAAGAATGTTCTGAGCAGCCTGGAAGACAGGGCAATCGGCTCCCACAGTCTGCTTCATCGACTGGGACGCCTGCAGAACGGTTGGTCCGGGGAGTTCGACGAACCGCGCAACAAGGACCGCAGTCACGCTGAGAGTTCCAAGGAAAACAGACAAAGGCGTACTGTCTCCCATGTAGCGCTTGCAATGACATGTCATCGGGAAGCTCCCATATCTTGGCCTTGTGGACTGTCTTCAGCATGTCCATGAGAGCTTCATGTGGCTTGCCACCGACTGTCACCTCTGCGGTCGTCGCCTGCCAGCATGAAACCGAGGCGAAGTGCATTCTGCATATTTGCAGTAACACAAGCATCTCCGGCAACTTTTTAACTCTCGAGCAATGGACTTGTGAGCAATCTCCTCAGGCTACAATCAATTACTCAGCAAATCCTGTCTTTGCACTGGGCAAGGTGCTTGCACTTGCACAACACAAGGAGCTGCTTCATACGACTGAAAGGCCACCTGTCTGGCTCTCCAATAGGGCTGGCACGAGGACGCAGGCCACTGGGTCTGTCCTTCTGCTTCTCAGGCATTCCAGCGCAGTCGCATCTCTATGGGCAGGAAAGCTTTCGCCGAGGTCTCGGAGTTGAACAGGACACGGACCTTTCGGAGTCTGCTCTAGTCTCGCCATGCTGACTTCACGCTGTGAAGAAATTGTAGAGCACGACTCTACCCCTCTCATTGCTCGAGCCAGTCGTCGCCACGGTGGTCTTGCTGGCAGCCCTGACGATACCTTGGATGCACTACCAAACCGCATGCCAATTAAAGAAGGGGGCCCGAGTCAAGCAGAAGTGCTTCTGTGCTTGCAAGTCTCCTTGCCAGTGCACGTCCGGCCATTCACCGAGGGTGTTCGAGCCTTGGTTGACAAGAGAGTTTGTCAAAATCAGAGCTCTAGATCCGCGTGGACGAGATTGTCCTCCTGAGGGCTCTCGCCGAAAACCCACAATCCACGACCAAAACGTCCCAAAACACATGCCAAGCGACATCTGTAGGTCAGCCGCAAGGGCCCACAGCCAGGAAGCGAGCTCGAGAAATGAGCACTGAACCTGTGCCGGTGCATCAAGCACCCGGGGCAACACTGCATGACTTGGCATGCGTACTGCGAGATTCTGTGCTGGAAGCAGACAACATGCTGAGTTTGGTTGGGCGACCTAGAGAGAGAGAGAGAGAGAAGATATGGTTGCCCCGTTGGCAAAGATCTCAACAACCAGTCATACCTTCTATACTTGCCCAAGGTCGGACATGAGAGACCAAGTATTTCGTCGCCTCGCGTGAGAGTCGGGCTCCGTGTTGTGGGCATCAATACTCAGCAGCTGTCCCTGTTGCACTCCTGCCGCAAGCTTGCGCATCGCTTACGGTGAACGCTCGTCTCACTGGCTGCGTGACAGTGAAAGCGGGACTGTGAGACTCTCTGCTACCCTACACCTACCCGCCACAGCCCTCCCAACCTTGAAGCAGTCCGGGAATACCGGCCGAAAACACAATCCTCGATTCTGGAGCAGCTGGAGCAGCTCGTCAGCAGCACCGTTCCAGCTCCCGGCGGCGCTTGCAACATGGTCCACAGCCTGACCGTGAACTTGTCAGAAGCCTCGGGCTTCCTCTAAAGTCTTACATACCCTCTGCCACAACTCAAGGAATGAGGCTTAGTGTGCAGCTTGCTCTGTCCAGGCTCAGCTTGAGGTGAACATTGCAGAAGCAGCAAGTCTCCATTCTCTGCTGCTCCTGATGGCAAAGGTTAAGAGCTAAGATGCCTAGCGGCGCTCATCTCCGGTCGAGGTTCTGCCAGAAACAGAAGCAAGGCCAGTCCACAGCTGCCTTGCACCGCAGACGAACCACTTAGCCATAACCGTATTATACCAATCCTGATGTGCTCTTGATGTTGCTCTTCTTGACTTGCTAGTCGTTCTGAACCCGGAGCTCTATCCAATCGAGATTGAAACGAGAATTGCTCAAGCTGTACTCAGAAGTGGAAAGAGGGGTGATCAATATCCGCACATGATTTGCTATTCATATTATCAAGACTACCAGACATAGCAATAGTAGTAAGTCGTCGCACTATTACCTACTCCTGTTCCTAGCTACTACTACAGCGACAGTGCCTATCGTGACAGAACCTGACCCAGTACCGCCCCTGGCATCTGGATCCAGACCAAGCGGCCCGGCCCCGAGCTGCAGCCTGTCACTGACACAACCTGCTTGCCCACTGCAGCCTGGCAGTTACGATTTTGGTCGGTTCTCTCTGCTTCTTGCTCTGGGCGGCGCTTCGCTTTTCGATCTTGAAAAAACCCGAAGCCCTGGCCCAGCCTACAAGAAGGTTCTAGAAAACTCGAGTCGAGCTCAGAGAATCCTGAACGGGTCAGGCACCCCTGAAACCACGGGGAAATTTGGGCTTTCGATTCACAATCACGGAAGTGCATCGGAGGGTGCCGGGTGAAGAGCGTCGGGTGTTCGAGGCTTAACTTTTCTCCGGCATGTGAAAGGCTTAGTTTTAAGCTGCAAGCTGAGGCGGGTTCGTCAGCGCCGGGCTGTGTGCCTGGTCGGCCCACCGATAAAGAAGCTCCCAGCCACCATCGCGGCGCACTTGGCAGCTGAGCTCAAGAGGCCCACGTCCAGGCCGGCTTCGTCGCACAACCTCTTGCACAACAGTTATCAGACAGCCAGCAGTTTTGCATGCCATGAGGCTGCCCCTATTATTCAGTGTTGGACTTAAAACTTGAAAACTGTAGCTGCAACCTGCATCCTCCCATCCTGGGCGAGCCACTGCCAGCAAGACTGCAGCGCTATTCCATCCCTTGTTGTGAGCATCGATGGACAAAACCTGCAGAGGAAGGACAGCGATGCCAACCAAGTTTAGCACCAGTGCGACTAGTTCTCTCTTTCTCCCAGCCTGTCCCTGCTGCACGCCAGCATCTACAAGCTTGCGAAGGAGCTCCTTTGCAGCTTCTTCCCATGCATCGTTGGCCATTTCGACGTGGAAATGCTCCGGAAGATCCCCGGCAGCTTGCCAGAACGCGTATTGCACCTGGGCGTCAGTGCAGCAGTACACTTCGACCCGCAGAGCAACTAAAATCACCAAACGGCACTCCATAGACAAAGTTTGCCCATCTGACTTAAATCTGACAAAGCATTCATCCGCGGCACAGTGCGACCCGCACAATTCGAGGACGCTGTGATTGATGTCACCTCTTCGTCTTTCACAACGGAGCTGCCATTGAGGTAATGCACCTGCCAATCACCTCATTAAAGACAAGGAGCACCACTGTAACGACTTCACCCACAACCCTCTGCGTCATGCTTGCCTTCCAACAAAAACGGCTCCCCAACTTCTTCAAGGGAGTTTTACAGTGGTGCCCACAACCAATCGCCACATGGACCTGCAGCAGGCTTCCATTCCCTCCTCCCGTCGGCGGAATCCGCGCATGAATTCTAGCAGGCTGGCATTGTCGGTTGAAGGCCCTCCAATCCAGCGCCACGGGCCCGGAGCCTCGGAGCAGTCATAGGGTGCAAGCTTCCTCCCCCCCCCCCGGGTGCTCCCACCCCCTGAGCTTGCTGGAGCAGTTACTGCCCAACGACAGGGAGGTTGAGCATAGTTGCAAGGAACCGGGCCTTGTCGTGCTGCCGTGTAGTAGGCACAGAACATGGCATTATCGTCTGGGTGCTCATTGTGAGCATCAACCGCCAGAAGCTGTTCGCGCTGAACCCCCCTGAGTGCACACCAAGATAAACCGAGCACGCAAGCGAAACATCCGGGGTTCCCCCGGATTAAAAAATCCTCTGTAGTACGTCGCGATTGCATTACCGAGACATCTTTTACAAAATGTGACGATAACAACATCAAGCATCGCAGCACGCAGTGCCACGGCCAGCTGACTAGCTGCAAACTCCCAAGCTCCACCACCAACCGAAATCCATCGGACGTCTCCGACCTTGACGTGGGATTCAAGCTAAGTGAGTCTAGTTGAAAGCATTTTGCAATCGTCTGCTAATGCTGTTGGTTGCTAACATTTCACAGAATTACACAATACTCACCTTTCTCAGCTCCGGCCTGCGACAGCTCTCCCGCATAGTAGAAGATCGCAATAGTCAGGGGCCTTCCCCACATACAAGAAGAACTCATCGTGATGGAGATGATCTCCCTGCCACTGGCTTGTGAGCATGCCCACCGATGCAGCTCTTGCATGTCGAAGCCTGACTTGACCTGCCAGCTCCGTCTATCTCAAAGGAAGAGGGTGACTTCAGTTGGCTTGAGCTTTCTGGGAAGAGACAGAGATGCAAACCTTCGGAGAGCGAGTGGCCTCGAAGGCCACTTCGAGGTCGCCCCGGCTCGGCAGCTCAGTGCAGAAGTAGGCGCAAGCCTTGGCCTCTGCCCCGGAGCTGTGAAAGTCGATCCACAGAACCTGCACTGTCTGCACACATTTCTGAAGAAACCCACTGCGGAAACATGCCCCAGCGCGTGTGTCTGTTTTCTGTGCGTGTGTGTGTGTGTGTGTTGTGTATATGAATCTATGAATGCATGAGCTGTCGGTCTGCTTACCGACATGTATGCGTACATGCGTGCACTGCGACATGCATTCATGCGTATATATGTACATGAGCACATGCATGCATACGGACATGTGTACCTGAACGCATGCGTACATGCATGTATACATACATACCTACCTGCCTACCTACCTGCCTACCTGCCTATCTGCCTACCTGCCTACCGGCCTGCCTGCCTACCTGCCAACGTACCTACCTACCTACCTACCTACCTACCTACCTACCTACCTACCTACCTCCCTGCCTACCTACATACCTACCCACGTACCTACCCAACTACCCAGCTACCCACCTACCCACTTTCATCTGAGCATTGTCAATGCTCGTTCTCCTGTGCATGCCCAAGTTCCTTCACAACTACAACCATCAGCTAAAGGATGCCCCTTTGCGAATGCTTGCACGTCACCTAAAGAACGAGCTGAGGCTGGCCTGGCCCTGTTCCACTCCGGCTGTCCGCAGCTCTTGGATCACGCCCTGGCTGCGAAAAGCGACAGGCAAACACCATTGAGTTTTCACAATCACATACGAATCGCGACGACATATTCGTCTTCGAGCTGTGAAAACACTAGCCAACACAGCAACTTGTGACACCTGCTTGCCTGAGCAGCAACTGTCCAACCAGAGCAGGAATCCCTGTCAAAGGAGGCCACAAAACCTGAGGCAGATGCAGATGCGAAGTGCAAAATCTCTCTGGCCGAAACGTCGCCAGAACAAAGCCCAGCCATATCCACTGAGAGCGGGGCTAATAGTCGATCCAGCTCGCTGCACTGGCACAGATACGAACTGCAGTGACCTTATTCAGTATCCAAAGCTGTGGCTGGCCCCAGTGGGATCACTGACTGTGCAATTGCTGCCTACCGACTGCAGCTAGACCACAATATGTCGTCTGTCGCCACTGCTGAAAGGCACAGCTCGTTTCCTCGGCAGCCATAACCCGGGATCCACAGGCTGCCGTCACCTTTCTGTCTGGCGCCACTGAGCGTCGCAGGGCCCGATCGTCAAGCAACAATCGGAACTGGGCAGTAGAAAGGCCCGCATCACTTGCCAGCAATCCTCGGCAGGTGGAAGCACCCAAGCGCGATGAACACACCTTGCTGGACCGAAAGGAACAGAGCATTGCAAAAATGAGCTGTCAAAGCGGCTCTTGAGGCCAAGCACCGTCTCCTCTGGTGGCACAAGCTTTTGCACCACGGAGCCTGAAACACTTCGGGCTTGAGAGCTTGTGCAGGGCAACCGGCACAGGTTTCAGCCCCCGCTGGACGTGAAACCTATGCTTGTCATCTCTTAAGTCTTTAGGATGAGCAAGGCCGCCACTGCCGCCACGTGACCGTCAAGGCGCGCAACCTCCACGGTCAGTGCCATTGCAGTCTGTCCGTTCAACACAGAGGAGGCTGTGGGCTAATGACTTGGGGACAAGTCAAGATACAATGATGCTACTCTGGCGTTATCTTTGAGGAAGGAGTCAAAAGAGCATTCACATGATGACGTGCATTTGCAAGAACTCTCGAAAAGATACGGCATCGCTCATAACAGGGACGCGGCAAATTGTTCTAGCCCCGGCAACATGCAGATCTGACAAGTTTGCGCGTCTCAGAGATCATGCATCTGCATTTGCGATGTGCGTTCAATAAGGTTTTGATGTAACAGGACAGGCCATGGGTGCATCTTGCATGTTTCCTTCGAAAGTTCTTGTCACTTCCGTCAACCCCAAACCCAACCCGAGAGACGTAATGACAACTAGAAGAAACCACAAGCGGCAATAACAACCGATGCAAATCCGTTTCCCTCAAACCTAAGCCCATCTAAGCCCCATCCCACGTCTTCCCCCCAGCCGCACCCCCTCTGACCACTCGGGGCAGAAGGGGAGGTCGGCAGAGCTCATCGGGCTAAGGAAAGTTCAGGGCGTGACGAGGTAGGGAGCGAGGGGACTGCACGGGGTGCACACCTGGTCTCTCTCTCTTCTCTCCAGTAACCGGAAGACAGGGCCCAGATTGTAAAGCACAGCCGTATTCTTCTTTTCGCCCAGCGCCTGAGCGATGTAAAAAAGTTTATCTTTGGCTCTTTTCGACACCGAGGCAGTCGATCCTGGCTTCCTACAGCTTCACACGGCCGGATGCTGCTCATAAAACAGTAGACCAATTGACACCACAGTTGTCAATTCTTAGGTTCTATGTCAGCCCACAGTTGTGACAAGCGGTCGAAACCTTCTGAAGATCATTACATTCAAGCCCATGCTTGTCTCATGCAGCGTTTCGAAAAAGTTCTGAAAGTGTTGCACCCTCTATACTTCCTCTGACGAACAACAAGAACAACAACAAAACATAACTCAGGCGACCGAAATCCCTGCTGTGGCTTCGGCTTCCCTTGCTTAAAGTTAGACACGCCAGTAGCTTGCGAGTCGGCAAAGGCCCCTGCCGCCAGTTTCTGATGTTGGCCTAGTCGGAGCATCTACCCTGTACACCACGGGGGTCGCTCTTTGACGATGTCATCGCCCCGACCCGACGCCCCGGAACGAATTTCCAATTTCTTGCAGAAAGAAAAAGCAGCAAAAAAAAGCACCATAGCGTAAGCGAAGCTCTGAAGCCGCGGCATGGCGAAACTCGTTGCGCCCTAGTGGCTCCAAGGCTGCTAGCATCGCAGCAGCGGTGCAAATTCAAGCATGTACGGTACCTACATGCTATGCCACTATGCCACTATGCAGTATGAGCATGGTGAGCCCTGCGCATGGAAGCTAGTGATGCTGTGTCTCGTCTTAAGGTTCAGGTCTCGTCATTCGTGGCATGGCAGGGCAGATGGGGATTGGCAGTTAGCTTGACCTAATGCACCCCGGGCCTCGCCGGCATGGCTGGGGGGAAGTGCAGCAAGCTGAGCCTAAAAGAAGACTCGCAGCTCCCCTTCACCACCTCGACCGGCACCATGCTGGGCATCCGGCCTGGAGTTTCGTGATGTCGCTGGCATCCGTAAAGGGGCACCTGAGTGAGGGACCAAGCCTTAACAACCCTTGGCCAATATCAGCAGCGCAGCGAACCAAATGCGAGTATCTGACAGCGACATGATCAACCGGGTGCAGAACCCTTCCTTGAAGGCAGGGCAAGCGCCGATCGCATCAGATCGCTTTTCCTGTCAGACACGCAACTCATGGTGCTTTCGGCATGGAGCCAACACGTCGGACGATTTTGCAAGGCGCCTTGATCCACTCCAGCATCTCGTCGTTCTTGCTGTAGGGGCAGCCATCTGCGAAAGCCGGGCAGCCGTCAGAGACGGCACCAGGAATCTGTAAGGGCGCAGATTCTCCGTCGCCACCGCCCATGGCTGCACAGCGACGGTACCTTTTGTACACGCGCACCCGCCTTGACGGTGAGCCAAACGAGCGACAACTGCCTGGTCACACAGGTTACTACACTTCACTTGTTGAAAGCCAAGTCTCATGAGGATGTTGAGCTGGTTGCCTGCATGTTACCAGGGCATCAGCTGAGGGCACGGTGCCTCTGTGCCTCACAGGCTTTTGGCCGCACTAAGGATCTGGCTCGACTCCGAAATCCGGGTCTGAAGCTCCTTCCAGTAATTCTTGTCAACACGGCGACTGTGCATTCACTCCCTGAAGGCTGGCGCGGTCAGGAGCACCTGCTCCCACTGACGTTGTGGAAGCGACGGAAGCGACCAGTTGCCGAGCTTCATTTGGAGGTGCGAGCTCAACCTGGCACTGAGGTGTTTTGGGATACTATTCGCATAAACTATACTACCATACTTATATTGGGCCTCGTCTTCAAGCAATCGTGGAGGTTCTGCTCTGATGCGTGGAAGCGTTCCAGCCGCACAGGATCTGCGTGGTGCACAAGACTCCGACTTGAGGCCTTCGGCCTTCGCCCTTCCCTACCCGAAGATGCCCAAACAGAAAGCAAGGGGAGAGGGAGACGGAGAGGGAGCGGCGGGAGAGCGGCCGGAGCCGGAGAAGAGGGCTCCTGGCATGGCTTGTCCCACGCTCTCCGTCGCATGGACCATCGCAGCAACCGAAGGCAAGCAACCTGTGCTTGGGGGGGGCTTCTGGGTCCCAACAAAGAACCATGCAAGAAGAGGGCACAAGGGCTTTCGTGTTGGTCATGGCCGTAATTATATTCGTGGAAGGATTCGCTGCTTCCGTCTGCGTATCACTGCCTATGCTATGCCAGAAATGGATTGACGGACGGGCTGTCTCAGCCGCGCAGCGCCGCAAAAAACCATCCGCTGCGTGTGACAGCTCCTGTTTCTGATACTTTCAGCAGATTGGCCCCTTCACGCAACAACACTGCCTACACAAACATGCTACCACCACTTCAACTATTCTGTGGCACGAGGAACATTCTCGGCAATTCTGAAAGTAGTGTGCTATCTGCACTTCCAGCACGTTGCAACATACAGGGGCCTCACCCTCACGAACGGCACGAAGTGCCGTCATGACCCTGGCAAACTCCTCGATCGATTCCTGCTTCTCACAAGCTGGCTTCTATTGGGTTCTAACCGTGGCAAATTCGCATGATGACCTGCCTGGCTTGCAATGGTGAAATCCAAATCGCCCCTCAGGTCGCAGCCGAAACTACACAACCCTGCTCGCCATGAGCAAACCTGTTCTCACGCGCTGGCAAGGCAACTGCATTGACCAAATTCAGTCCGAGCATCGACTTGGGGCCCTGGAGCTTCAGGTGCTGCAGCAACTTCCATGCAGCACTCTGGCGAAGAATCACGAAGCCGGCTTCCTGGAGAAAGAGCTCGCCAGCGCAGGCTTCGGCAAACACGGTGTCCAGGCCTCGCTCGTCATCTGCTCCGATTCCAGATGCAATGCATCGTATTGGCTGAAATCCTTTGGCGTCGCAGATGCCAGGGCGTGCCCGAGGCCTTTGACAGTCCAAGCATTGCGGGATTCCGGTTTTTGGTCGCCAGTTCAAGTTACTGCAACTACCCTCGCAACACCAGGACCAGGGAAGACTGTGTCTGACTGCCGAGAGTCGCCAGGCAAAGACTTCAGTCTGTAGCTTGTGCGCGATTTCGCGGAAGCTCTGCGAGGACTTCGGCCGATTCTGGTTCTCACCTCGGCCAGGATTGCAAGGTAAGCGGGGTTGGTCCTGGGGTTGTGCAGCTTGAAGCTCTGAAACAGGAAACTGAACCTTCTGCCAGTGCCACCAGCCACACTTCTTAGCAATCTCGAGGCAGCTCTTGCCTTAATGGGCAAATGGGCGCATGACTCGGGCACGGAAGCAAGCGTCCAAAGTTAATCAGGCCACTCATCCTGCCGACGTTGGCGAAGCTGACCCATGCTTCCGGACAATCTGTCGAGGTCCACGCCTCCACAGCCAGATGGGCGGCCGGCGGTGCATCAGAAAGGTTTATAAGAGCTAGGAAACTTGCCTTTTGCAAGGACTCCACGGCCTTCTGAGTCCACAGAAGTTCCTTCAACTTACGGTGCAAGATCTGACGAAGATTCCAAGCAAAGGTTAGAAATTAGTGTCAGCGCGAGGCGTACGGCTTGCTTTGACGTGACGGTCCTGATCCCCCACGCTTTCGTGGTTCCATCTCCGCAGAAGCGATGCTAGGAGCCTCCATCGGCACTCTCACTTGAAGCCGCTGTGCCACTGACAACTTGAATAAACTTGTACCATTTCAGCTTGCTCAATGCATGCCTAGCCGATCGGCGCCGGCTGCTAGAAAGCCCCTGAAGAAGCCTGCACTCAGAGGGTACAACGCCGCCGAAAGAAACCATGTACCCGCCTCGCCCTCTGCGATGAGAGCTCAACACCCTCGAGCGATGCAGCCTCCCGAACATCCAAAAAGCCCGCGCTTCGTTATGCTTCGCCGCTCCCCTGCTCGCCCCGGATCGCCCCGGGTCCTTGTTCAGCCAGGTTTCCGAATCAAAGCCATCAAGAGAGGTGGTGGAAAGCTTCGACAGCCTCAGAGAGCACCGCCCAAGTCCTTTTGGTCTCGCCGCAAGCAGAGCTGTGCAGAACTGTGCAGAGCTGTGCCGAGCGACAGGTTGGCTGTCAGCAGCCGTCCCCTCAGAGCCTTGGCCTGGCGCGGCTACGCCCAAGCTGGGTGCTCCAGGTTTGAGCTGACTCTCCCTGCGTCGATGCCTCGGAGAAGCGCAGCTTGCTCCAGAGCTGCTCCACGGCTTCGGAAAGTCCTGCGAGAGCTCTGCCCAGCGCCACCCGCGGCGGATGATCCCGGATCCGTCCTTCACCGGCCAGGTTCGTCAGGTCAGAGTCCCTCGCGTCGCTGAAGACCTCAGGGCGACTCGGAGTCGTCACACGCGCCTGGCGCCGGAAAATCCCCGCGAAGTTTCGGGGCCCTGGCCTGCAAGGACTTCACCACGAACCTGAGCCGGAGTGAGGGCTTTCCATAAGTGTCGCCTCAGAGCCGCATTCGAACCAAGGAGCAGTTGAAGATGCTTGGCTGAATCGCTGCGCTCTTCCCGCTCCATGGAGGCCTGGCCGGGCAACTGCCGAGGACAAACGCTATCTCTTCTTGGACAACTCCATTCGGCAGGGAGACCAATAAATGAGCAGCTTCCTGCAGCCACCGACAAAGTTGCCGGTCTGGAGCCTTCCTGAGATTTCGTGACGTCTCTCCCCAACAAATTCCATCATCAAAGCTTTGCGAAGGCCACACCCCAAGTCGAAAAATCAGAAAAATGTCAGAAGCCTCAGCTCAGTGGTGGATGCCAGCGAAGGCTTCGGCAACTCGAGCAAGGCGACACCGGACCAGAATAAATGCTGGCAGCGCTCTGGCTTTCAATCCTGCTGTAGCGCTCGCTCCAGCCAGTGCCATCCCCCTCCATCTCCTGTAAGACGAGACAATACAAGTCGAGTAGGGGTGGTCAGTCCATGTCAGTTCCACAGAGAAGGAAGCGTAAATTGAGCTATTCCAGGTTTTGAACCGGAAACTTCAGACATTTGTGTGGCTTCAGTTTCGCCCATGCCCGTTTGCAGCCTGATCCTCCTCGTTAGTGCTCTCCACGGCCACGGCCTTTGTCGGGACAGAGCACGCCAACCGGCCAGTAAAGGACATGCCTTGGCCCTGGCCTGGATGGCCGCCAGCAGCCCTGCTTTCTTTGGCTCCGAGCTTGCCTTGTGGCATTTCCCGCCCCCCCCCCCCCCCCCCCGCCCCGCCCCCGATCCTCTGATGCCCGCTTCAGTTTGGCAGGCTTGCCTTGTCCATCTTCTCACGCTTCGCAGGCTCATGCGAAAGCTCCTCCAAAAACCAATCTCTGACAAAGCAGCATCGCGCGGGAGATTGATTTAAAGAGCTGTCATCTGCTCTTTATCACGACGGACCGGGACTTGCGCAAACAGCCTGGCCTTGGCCATCGCGAGAAGCACAGCTGCTCGTCGGGACAGCGCCAGCTCCTGCAGCTCTGAGGTACCAGGCTCTTCACAAGGCCTCGGTCAAACCCTCTGGCAAGGTCCCCCGTCTCGGTGGAGGAGGCCGCCTGGGCCATGAACGGCAGTTCGGAGCCACGGTGTCACTGGCAGTGCACTGCCTCCGAAGCTTGGAGGGCATCCACTGCCTCCTGGCTTGGGGCACACAATCGTCGATCAGGTGGTGCTGCTGCGGACAAGAGCGAGTGCCTCGTTATCATCATCGACCAGGGACGGAGTCACCTGGACAACTTCGGGAACACACCGCAAGAAAGGGGAGAGACTCTGCGCCCTGTCTTGCGGACATGAACTGCTTTCTCTTGAGGTACACTAGGCGGCCACTCGGCATACCTTGAGAAGCACCGCATCTGAACACCCGGCCCTTGCCTTGGCCAAAACCACGGAGTTCTCGACAATCTTGCGAATGTCCTCCACTCTGCCATGCACCGAAACGAAGTGAAACGCAGTGAAACGCAGTGAAACTGCGCTTCGGACAGGCTTCGGGAAAACAAACGTCGCCCGCTCCGGCCGCTGCTCGAGCGGGGAGGGCAGCGAGGCCCTAGACACGGCGTGCCTGCAACGTCCGTACGGATTTGGGCTTTTCGGGCTTAGGGTGTCGCCTCCCCAATCGCAAGCCACAGCAAGCACTGCAGTGGGGGGGGTTCTGTTTTGTGAAGTTCCTTTCTCACTGAAACAGGGCGTGCTTGTTGTAAGGCGCCTCTCCAAGGTCGGCTACAATACGTCTATGGGGTTTGCACTTCAGGGCTGGTCATCGCCCACCTGCCCTCACCCCAGTCCAACGACACCAGGCCCGCAAAAAGAACGGCTCCGATGACCGGCCTCACAAGGCAACAAGGCGTGCTGCCCGGCCAACAAAACTCCAACATAGACCACGTTCATGCATGTATGCATGCACCCATTGCATGAATGCATCTATGTATATACGAATGATAATAAAACTGTATGCATGTATGTATGTATCTGTGGGTGTGAAAGATTGTATGCATGCATGTATGTACGCACGCATAGAGGCATGTGTGCGAGTGTGTTCTCTCTCTCTCTCTCTCTGCCGTTGCATCCTTTCTAGCAGCAACGCGCGAGTGTGCTATGTCTGTCTACCTATCTGTCTGTCTATCTGTCTGTCTGTCTGTCTCTGTCCGTCTGTCTGCATGCACGTATGTGGGCATGTTTGCATTCAGGCATGTAGACCTTTTTCTTCGGGGCTGTGTATTTGCGCATGCATGTAAGTACATATGACTGACTTGAATGAAAGAACAAACGAAGGAAACGATGAATCATTATCTGATTGCTGCTTGCTCCGTTTTTGTTGGTCTGCTTGTGTCTATGTGGGTATGCGGTATGCTTGTGTGCTTCTCCGTTTGCTGGTTTGTTCCTTTGTTTTGCTGGTCTGCCTGTCTGTCCTTATGCATGTGCATGTTGTCTATGCAGCCCAGACTGTATAGCAACCTGCTGGAGAAAGCTCTGCTGCCGATCCCTTCCTTCCATGCTCTTTCAGGCAGACGGCGCGAGCCAACGGCCACACTCCTGCTTCATGGTTGCCTGAGTTGCCTGTAACTGTAGCCGAGTAGCACAGACATTGCATTGCCCGCGAGGAAGATCAGTTCGTTCTCCGTGTGGTGATCTCGGCGCAACAAGCGTTCCGGCTGAATCAGGAAGTATGTTTTGCGAGAAAGGCACCGCGCTTGTGCTGCACTCGGTGTCATAACTCTACTCACAGGCCCACGAATTCAAACTGAAAAACAAAGGCTTTCGTTACCAGCATGCTGACTAAAGCACCCAGGTTCATCTCGTCCAATGGGAAGCCATTGAGTCCTCAGACAGCCCGAGTACATACTGAAAGCATTGGAGTGCTGCAAGCTGTGGTCGAGAGATGTCGGGAAAAGTAGCCAGGCAGGTACACGTTTGATCTACAGCCCCACTCATGCTGAAGCGCTCAGAGAAGCATGTCTATGTCGCCAGGAGGCTCAGGCACTCCTCTCCTACGAAGGGGCGATGCCGGCTGAAGCTGTAAAAACAACAGCCTGTCGTCAATGTCGGAATGTTGCCTTGCTGCGAGCTGTGGAGCCACAACTGAAAGATGCCGAAAATTTACAATCAACAGATGACTGTCACACTGAGCTGACGACCGTCATCCCTCCAAGCCCCTCGCGAAACCTGTCCAGCAAAGATTTCAAAAGCATTGAAAAACCGCGCTTCAACATGCCCCTTGATTTTCTGCAGCATTGCATGAATGTTTCAAGCCCTCTGGAAGTGATTGCTGCACCGCTTCCAACTGTTCTAATCTACTCAAACGATCTTGGACGATCTCGCCACCTGTTCGGCTGAATCGACTACGAGTCATCTTGAATGAGCCAGCCTGCTGGCTGAGATCCGCAAGCAGGAAATTGAAGTCCAAGCCCTGCTTCTCCTTGCAGGTATGTCGACAAGTGCAAACTATGCTAAATGGAGGATAACTGAAGCCGAATCAGCCGTTAGCCAGCGAGGCACCCTGCAGATTGGAGCCTGCGATGAATATTCTTGCAAACTGCTACTCTCAATATCACCACTGCGTAGTTCCACTGTTCTTGCGTTTCCCGGCCCTGCCGCGGTTCGTATCAACAAGCCCCTTGCGCATTACCTGTACAGCTCCTTTAGTGCAATAAAGTTTTGGGAATCCTTGTTCACCTTCTGAGGCTGGTGCGGCTGGTGTCGTTAGCGTCGTTGGTGTTCGTGCTGGTGTTGGTGTGTGTTGGTCTTGGTGCTGGTGATGTTGATATAAAGAGCAGCAGGACAATTCCAAAATGCTGCCTTCCCCCAAGTACTGTGAGATCCACATCGACACCCGGAATTTTTGCCTCCAAGTACTGCTGCAATTTGAGGTTTTCAAAAGCAGCTGCTGCTGCTGCTGCTGCTGCTGCTGCTGCTACTACTACTACTACTACTACTACTACTACTACTACGACTACTCTACTACTACTACTACTACTACTACTACTACTACTACTACTACTACTACTACTACGACGACTACTCTACTACTACTACTACTACTACTACTACTACTACTACTACTACTACTACGACTACGACTACCACTGCCTCTGCCACTGCCACTGCCACTACTACTACTACTACCACTCCTCCTGCTGCTGCTGCTGCTACT